GAGATGTCCAGATGACAGGAGGACACAGGACAAATCAAGCTAGAAGATGAGCGTTGCATGCAAATTCATCGAAGGAGACCTATCACAGCTGCCCATGCCACATGGTGCTATGACCCTCGAATGTTTACCGTGCATACACTTTTTGAAGTTTTCTCCAGTGAATTATCAGAAACCGGGTCAGACATCCAGGGTAGCAATGCTAGTTTCTGCTCTTTTACTTCATACATATTAAACTGGTGCAGTTTACTGAAAGGTTTAATGGATTTAAACCTCCCACGCACACGTCCAAACCATCTCAGACTATCTTTACTACCTCTGCTCCTTGCACCGTCACATTTCCATTGGTCTCCCTGTCGTTCACACATGTATTCTGTCTAGCTTCTATTAGACTTTCATTCCTCTTCTCTCCACACCTCCACCTTTCCAGGCTCTCTTCAAATTGCTTTCCATTCTTAGTGCAGATCACAGTGTTTTCTGCAAACCTAACAGTCCACGGAGGCTCCTGGCTGAACTCACCTGTCAGACTGCCCATCACCACTGTAAACAAGAAAAGGCTCAGAACAGATCACTGATATAATCCCTTGAAGCTAAGTCAGTCCTGCTGCACACCTCACACTCCTCATACTTCTCTGCCACTTCCTCATGCAGGACCTCAGTTCCTCTCCTGGTACTTCTCCATCAACACTCTCAAAGCAAACATCACAGCTTTAGCGCTTTCTCAGCTGATGGTCACTTCTCTTTGCTGACCGTACAAATCAAATAAATAATAAAGAATTATTTTATTTCAGCATCAGAGACAGGGGTTTAGCACAGAACTCTGGCTCTTTAACAAAAACGGCCTCAGTGGAGATCCCTTCTTTTCTTGATCTCCTACCCAGTAATTTAATACATCTACAATAACTCTGCAGAGTTTGATGCTAACTGCAAAAATAATTGAATTTGAATCTCAATTTCAAATTTGGATTCTCAAAGGTAAATGTACATGACTGGCTGAAACAGAAAATGTGTGCTTATACAATAGAACACAAAGCAAAAGCAAACCAAGCAAACTCCTTGAATCACTACCTGATGATGTGTCTGCGTGGAAAAAGTCACAGGTGCCCCCCGCGCAGCTTAAGTTTCCTGGAGGCAGAGTCTGGATGACTTAAAAAAATTTTTTTAAAAATTAAATTTGACACACAGAAGGTGAGGAGCTTCTCATTCGAAACAACTGATAGCGAGCCGGTCCGGTGAGTCGGCGCATCCATCCAGTGCACAATGACACACTGAAATCACCAATGTAAATGCGGTGACTAAGGAAGGCTTCGGAAACGAGGTGAACACACTGGACAAAAGATATGTTATTCCCGCACTTCTTTAACTTACGTGGAAAAACCTATGCTGCATGCAAAACATCAGAGGGAAATAAAAGAGATCTCAATAGTGTTCTGCCATGATACTCAGTCATAGGGCTGATAGCAGTTTTTATGTGTATTGTAGTCAAGTTCAGTATGCAGTCCACTCTGTTGCGTTACTTGTAAATTTATTTTAAAAGAAATATGCCTCAAACATGTGCTATGAAAGATGTCTGAATCTTTGTGTTGATAATCATGTCAGTTTTATAGCAAAAAGTGCTTTTCAATCAGGCGCATTTCCTTCCTTCTCTCCAAAAAAAGCCAGTTTCAATATACACGAAAAGCTGAAAGGCGTGTTTTGCTATATTAACGGATTGTTGGGTAAAGTAAAACTCAGTGAATTGTAAATTATTGATGATTCGTCTCATAAGTCATGACACTGCTTTTACCTCCATAAACTGCCTTTATAAGAGGAAATTATTGGTATTGGCAATACTCGTCCTGTAAAAAAAAATTTCATATTGCATTGATACAAAAATTTTAAGTATTGCACAGCACTACCGTTAGTTGTTTTTTTTTTACCCATTAGCTCAGAATAGTAAAAAAAATACTTCAGTAGGGGACTGAAGTATACATTAGTGAAAAGGATGATTCGGCGTTTTCTGTTTTGGTCTTACCTGATTGCAGAAACTGTTTCTCTACTGTGCCAGAAACAATCCTCATGTGTTATGTAACATATTTATACATCGTCACCCATAAACCAGCTCCGGGTTAAAACACTGAACTGCTGTTACTGCTATTATTACATTTAATCTAAAGTTGCAAAACCAGTGAGTGCTCAGATGTGCTCGTCTCCATCTAGTGGTCACTTTTATTTACTGCAAACACATTCATTCATTCCAACTTCAGTTAGAGGAAAGTTCTGGAGAAAATCACAAGCAGTATTTCTTTGATTCGTTTTAATTTACAATTTAGACTCAAATTACACCGATGATTTAGATTCAGAAAAAGACAAGGTGGCTGCAGAATAACCCTGACACCTTCACTGTAGCTGAAATAGACAGGTACTTCTATTGCTTTTCTACTCTCAGCACTTTCTTACTACCAATTTTGTTCACTCAGTCCTACAAGTGTTTTTAACCCAACATTCACACAAGGATGGAGCAACTCAGGTATCTTGCCCAAGGGTACTCTGGAGTAGCTAGGTATCAAACCAGTGACCTTCCAGTTAGTAGATAAGCTGCTTTATTTATGTAAGAGCCAACGCAGAGGCAAGATTTAGGATAAACAGACACTACAATAAAAATAACTTTTTGAAAGCAGTCGACTCTCAGTCTTGTAGACATCACTGACTCATCAGGCAAGATGCAATAAAATGTTCAAAACTAAAAATGGTAAAACTGAGCATATTTGCTCTGTAACTGCTAATTTTATTTTAGCTCTCCAAGTTCACAAAATCATTTGTTACTTTAAATTTTTTCTAATATCTAGTTTTTATTTTAGCTAAGCAAACTGTTTTTGTCCCCACGTGTTTTAGTTTTTAAGCTTAGGTGATTCTAGTTGACTAAAACTAAACTATGAGGAGTTTCTTTAAAAACACCTGATACAGTCAAGCTGAATGTTGGCTTAACTTTATGAAGAAGACACTAAACTAAGTAACTTGTTCTAGGTGGTGTATTTATTTTGAAGGCTACAGGTCCAGCTCAGGCTTCAGAATGCTCCAAATTCTGTTTCACAGTTTTCATCTATTCATTGATCTATGTGAAGTTATAGAGAGGGTGTATCACTAATATGGTCATCTCAGGCTGTTGAAATCTTCTGGTTGTGAGGGAAAAGTTGACCTAAAAAAGAAGGGGCTAGAATTTCTTGTTTCAGACAGGGGATAAACCCAGTATGAGATAAATATGGATTATTTTGAACTGAATAATAAAATCTAAGGATGAAGACATGCAGGTAGAAGTAAACAGAATAGCTCCTATTTAATATGCCTTTATGTAGATGAAACCTGATAGCTCTGTGACGATAGCACTCCTAAACAAAGGTATCCAATACAGCTGATTATTACTCTTCAGTGCCTGAAGAGTAACATCTGTGAAATTCTGATATGTCCTGAAAGAATTCCTAATTTCTCGGCTTATACTTTTATGGCAAAGTACCTGAGAGCCTCATTGTACTCGTCAACTTCAGAAACTCGACGAAGCAATTAAGAGCTGTGAGACGGAGTAGATGGAGGGCAAACATTTTAATAAGATTAAGAACCAGAAATATCAAGTACTACAAGCTATGGCCAAACAAAGTAGGACTCGCTGCCTCAATTATAGCCAAAAAAACAAAAACAAATCAAATAATCCCTCAAAGTATGAAGAGAGTGGCTACATGAGTGTAAGTTCATCACAAAGACACTGTGGAGCTCCCTCAGTAAACACTTAATC